AACCTCCATGTCGATTTCCTTTTTTTCAAATCGCTTCAAACCAACACCAAACCAAATCATTCTGTTTCATGTCTGTTCCTGTACGGTTTTTGCAATCTGAATTTGTGCCGACAAAGTCAGATGGAACAGTTGCATCTAGCAAGGACGTAGAAAGAATTCTTCTTCATTGTTTGTGTAAAAGCCTCTGTGTGTAAAAGTCTCTGTGTGCAAAAGCGTCTGCCTGTAAAAGATTCTGTGTGAAAAACTTTACGAAAGATACGATGCAAAATATTGTCTTGTTCTTGTAATATATTGTCTTGATACTACTCTTCTCGTCTGCCTAAAATACATCTTTAACATATTGTCTTGCAATATAGTGTCTCCATACTAACAACAGAAGACTCTGCTCCTCTACGCTCTCGGGCCATCCGTCGTCTAGTTGTTGGAGATAAAAAACCACACCTCATTGGTGACACCCACGGCCAATGTACACAGAGATTTGAGAACCAGGTTCCATGTCACAACCCGCACTGAGGGAAACAGCACCATGCCGTTACCAGCCTTTTTGTCGGCCGGAAATTCTGATGCAGCAGTTTGCTTTTGTCAGCCTTTTTCAATGGAAATTGAACTGAACGCCGTGAAACTTCCTTGAATTTTTATTGGAGCTAGCAAAACACCACACCTCATTGGTGACACCCATGACCCATGCATGTACACAGAGATTTGAGCACCACGTTCCATGTCACAACCCAGCACTGAGGGAAACAGCACCATGCCATTACCAGCCTTTTTTGTCGGTCGTTGGTTGCTTGCTGAACAGCCGGAAATTCGGATGCAGTGGTTTGCTTTTGTCAGCCTTCTTCGGGGGAAATTGAACTGAACGCCGTGAAACTTCCTTGGGTTTTTGTTGGAGCAAGCAACACAACGTCACAAACATTTGAGCACCATGTTCCATGTCACAACACAACACCGTGGAAACAACACACTAGATTACGGACCATTTTCTGGTTCGAAAAATTGTGCCCTAGCGGCTTGCTGTGTGTGGGTAACCTTGAATCAAAGGGTAAAAGCAAGGGGCCCGTGGACGCATAGATGGCACGGGCCAACGAAGACCCATCTATGTCGTCGTGAAAACGTACCTCTGCAAAACTCCCATCGTGAGACATGGCAAGGTGGCCAAGCCAAAAAAAAGCACCCCCGCCGACATGCCATGACATGACACGACATGCTAACGCAATAACATGACATGACATGTATCATGTCATCTCATTTCGCCCTCTCCCTTCGGGGAGTTTCCAAGTGTGTGTCCGTCTGTGTTTAAACGCAGGTGGGGAAATTTTGGGGGAATACACTGCCGCAATACTTCTGGAAGGAGCAGTGGAGGACCTGACACAATGCACCACACGCAAAAAGTTGGACAAACGCTGCCAAATCTCTCGTCACTCTCCCAGAACCACGCGGTGTACTCGGAGCACCCCCACTGTGTCGTCAGGAATTCTATCAAGTGAGGCTTGAGGTCCTCTGCATCGTGCAGACCGTTGATTTCGATGTAGCCAACCGTGCGGAGCTCCACCATGAGGTGATCCACGCCGTGCTGAACAAACTCATCGTTCCGGAACACGAGTTGTTGCTCACGTTGGTCACCCTTCCTGCCGTAATTTCCTGTGTTACAAGTGACCATTGTCCATTGGCACTGCTTCACCATGAAATCCACCAGCTCCATTGTTCTCAGACCCATGTTGTTCTCTCCCTCTGATCCCCTCTTTTTGAATGCCGAGGTTTGGAACTTCAGGTCGCAATAGTGAGGGTCATTTTGGATTTGAGAAGCCCTCCAAGCTGTTTTGAAAAAACTGCCCAACTTCTCAAAAATGTTGTCCTTGTCCTCGCCATTTACTTCAATGTAGCCAACCTGGCGAAGTTCGATCATGACCAACGGGGCAATCATGTTCAAGGGATGTGGGGCTTTGAATTTCATCTGCTGCTCCCTGATTTCTCCTTTCCAACCGAGGTTTCCGGAATCACACACTTGGAAAGTCCATCCGCACTTGTGGGTCAGGAACTGCGCCAGTTGCATGGTCAGCTTGCCCATGTTGTTCTCGCCCTCGTAGCCACGCGATTTGTAAAGGTTGTGATTGTTTGATCCTTTGCCAGAAGTGGTGATGTAACCCATGCTGTAGCTCTTTTCACAGAGCTTGTGGTGTTCCTGTAGCTCCGTCATTGTGTAACTGCTGCTGAAACCGCAGCATACGCCTTAGGGTTGGGAGGGCGCATCCAGCAGACCCTGACATTTGGCGAATGCTTGATCATGTGCATTGTGTTGAACATAGCAAAAAAGAACTTGCACTTCCATTGTTAAACTATGCTTATGATATAAAATATTGACATCCAGCATCATCCACAGAATAGGACCAGAAGGAGATGAGCGCAGAGCGACGCGGGCAGGGAGACGACAAACAGACAAACAGACAAACAGACAGACGGACGGATGGACGGACGGACAGACAAACAGAGAGAGAGGGAGAGAGAGAGAGAGAGATTGAGAGGGAGAGAGGCAGAGAGAGGGACAAGCGCCTGCCGACTTGCTCCGCCGTTCAAATCACAAACCGAGTGACAAATGGTGTGTTGTGCAAAGCACCTCAACAAGAGGTCGTATTGAAATCAAAGCGCGCCCGCAACTGCCCGCTCAAAACAACACAGTGAATATTTTCTGATAGATGCCAGTAACTTATTTTATTTCAGCCAAATTACACTCTTGGTCCTCGTTGCATGTTTCCATCATATCCACGGTCTTGTCTTCAAGGTACCAATGCTCCTTGAACCAGCGGTCCAATTTTCCATAGACTCCTCCAGTGTCTTTACCTTGAATTTCCACAAAGCCCAAGGACCGGATCTCAATGAGCAAATGTGGAACTCGAGTGATCTGGTCCAAATCCTGGACAGCGACGCCGCATGCTACACATCACATGACTTCACATGACAGATAAACTAAGCCTAGGCATCTGCACATCAGGGGGCAAGGATTATACTGCTACAAATGGCTACAGCCTCACCATCATGACCTGCGATAATGTCAAAACTAGTCGCAGACCCGACTTCCACCCAATACCTGGGTACATCTGGGTGTTCGATGCACAGCACATGCAGACAGCATCACTTCTCCCCACGCCCTACGCAGTAGTACAAAAAGCGGCGAGTTGGAAAGATAAAACAGTTTCAGAATGCTTCAAAACTTATTAGCTTTGCAATGCCGCTGCGGGCCACTCCAGTGAATCCAGTTCACGACCGTGATACCCCGACAGGCGCACACTTCACAGAAAACATTTTTCCTAAAGCAGTGTGTCCACGGGTTCGGAGTTAACGTCGGTGCTTGATTTCGACTGCGCAGGCTCGCACCAAACGCTTGTCGGCGGCATTTTACCTGAGAAATCTTGCAAAAATTGCTCTTGTGAAATGTCCATGTGGATTTCGCGCAGGCTCGCACAAAGTCTGCGGCGCGAGTTTTGGTAGATCTTCCCTGAGTCTCTTAAAATAGTAAAATTTAGGTCGGCAAAAATTGATGTAAATTTTTGGATTTAGGTCAAAAAAATTACACCGATGTAAAAGTAGATGGCTCAACTCAAAAACCAAAATACCCATAAGATGGCACCGCGGGTTGAGAAAGAAAACGGCGCTATTTTAGCTGGAACATAAAACAAGGTCCGCCAATTGAAGAAAAAATCGCCTTACTTCAAAATGAAAAGGTAGATGGCGCAACTGCCACTCCAGTAGATGGACATAGGGGTATTGTGAACTAAGTTTACTACATTTCCTATCATTTTTGCTTGTATATACGGTGGAATTGCACAAAATTGTATTGTATAAAATGAGTTGCGCCATCTATGTCCCTTGAATCCCGTTCAAACGCCAGAACCTTCTTTCGATGGGTTCAAAAATGAATTGCGCCATAAAAGTGTCCCTTAAATCGCGTTCAAATCTTTCAAAAATTCAGTGCCACGCCTTAAAAATGAACCACTGAAGGTTTTAAAACTGATTGTGGACAGAATTTATGGATGGAAATCTCATGTTTCAACATATTTTGAGAAAATATATATTGGAAAAACACTTTTAAAATTTCATTGCAATACCTTGAAAAATTACTTAGCTTAGTAAATATTTACTATTGATAAACAGACAGGTATATACCTAAATTGGTTTAGGCAAATACCTAAATTGATTTAGGTATATACCTAATTTTTTGTCATGTTTTTCACATATATAAAATCATATTTTTTTGATTGAATTTGTTGTTTTTTTGAAGTTTTTGCTGTTGGTTTCTTAACATTTTGACTGGTGTTTCTTGTTTGCACTGTTCAAGTGTAATACTTGTTTAGAGTTTGTATTCTGACGATATTTTCTTTATAATGAACATGTTTGTTTTTTTCCTCTTTGTTTTTTTTCTGTTGGGCTTGTGTATGTGACTTGAGCTTTTTGTACTTGGGCATGTTAATTTTGTGTGGTTATTTGCTTGTTATTTATGGGACCTGTGTATGTCACTTACGAGCTTTTTGTACTTGGGGGCATGAAAGTTGTGTGTTTATTTGCTGCTTATTTCTAGGACTTGTGTATATTACTTGAGCTTTTTGTACTTGGGCATGTCAGTTGTGTGTTTACTTGCGCATCTTGCACATGGCTTTCGCTTCAGTTGTGATGTTCTTGTTTTGTGTTTACTTGAGTTTGTTCTTTGGTGTTTTTTACTTGCGACAGCTGGTTTGCTTGAGGGGTGGTTCTGTTACTTGTGGTAGGGTCTTACTTGAGCATGTCCACAGGTAAGCTGCAGACTGTGGATCTTTTACATGGGTAGAATGTCAATTTCATTTTTTCCATTATCTCATGTAACTCAAGTAATTAGTTCCACTCAAGAAACTCACGTAACTCAAGTAACTCAAGTAACTCATATGTTCTTTTCTAGTTGGTCGCCATTTTGGCCTTGGGGGCTGTGAAGCCGTTGTATAGAAGCTTTTGGGCTTTCTTTTACTTGGAGCATGGCTGCGCTAGATGCTGTGGTGGACGAGCGGATGGAGAAATTGAAAGAAGAAAGATGTTTGAAACAGAAGACCAGAATCCGACTCACTGCAGACCCTGCCATCAGTGTGGCATCTCTGGTGGCCATCTTAGTGGCCTTCCTGAAGTACAAGCAGACCAAGCCTGGAGACCTGTGTGGAGCCGCCTCCATCTGGGCCTGTTAGCTTTGGCTGGCACAGCCCCCCTGCTCCAGACTGGCTTGTGAAAACTTCAGCTCTTTCGTACGACCTGTTGGAAGTATGCAAAAATCAAAAATTGGAGGTGTCAAAATGAGAAGGGCCCTCGAGGTTTTGTACAAGAACCACGACTTGGAACTTCGAACCAACAAGAAGCATTCCGCGGAGGACTGCGTGGACCGCCTGGACTTCATGATCCGTGTGCTTTTGAATATGGTGAGAAATTTGAAAAGTAGCCCGAACCTGAAGGTGAAGGTTTGGCGCAGCCTGGGTCGTGCAGAACAGGGTCGGCTAGATTTGGTTTTAGACAGGTGTATCTTGCCACCTGAGTTGATGGCTGGAGGAGAAATAGAATGCGACTATGAAGAAGAGAAGATTCAAAATCAAAAAAAACGCATACAACTGAAATCAAACAACAGGTGTTTCGGGGCAAAGGCAATTGTGGTTTGCCACCCATGCCTGCAGTGTTCAGCCAAATTTTGTTTGGCAACAAGGCACCAGCTCCTGCAGCACCTGCGGTTTCAGAAAAGGCAGTTGTCAAGACAGAGCACACAGGAAATAGAAAGTCAAAGAGGCCGACAGTCGATGCTTCGACCATGTTTACAAATGTTTTGCTCAAGGCTGCAGGCCACACACCAGCAGCAACTTTGAAGAAACCCAAAGCTGCCCCCAAGAAGCCAAAGGAAAAAACCAAAAGTACAAAGCACAAGAAAACAAAGAAAACCACTCAGAAGAAGAAAAACAAGGAGAAGATCAAGGTGACAGAGGCCATGTCAGGTCAGGGGAAGAAGAAGAAACAACCTGGAAAAGTGGAATCTGGGGGATCAAAAGATTCTACGAAGTCCGAGGTTGCAGAGACAGAGCACAAGCCTGGCGAAATGAAGAAGGAGCAGCAAATTTGGGTGCAGGGATACCTTCAGAAGGAAGAAAAAAAGGGCAATGTGATCTCCAAAGCTGAGGCCAACAAGCAATGGCCTGTAAGTTTGCGCCGTGAAGAGATCCTTTGTCGTGTTCCGCTTACTGACCTGAAACGCAGGAGGTTTGTCCCCAAAGGTGCGGACACCAATCCCTTTTTGGCCATGGTTGAAGCCCAACTTGCCAAAGATGTTGAGAGATAGATAGATAGACAGATAGATAGATAGACAGATGGCTAGACAGATAGATAGATAGATAGATAGATGGGTGGGTAGATAGATAGATAGACAAATAGATAGAGAGACAGCAGAATAAAAAGATAGATAGATAGATAGATGGATAGATAGATAGACAGACAGATAGATAGATAGATAGATAGGGAGATCGATAGGTAGATAGATAGAAAGATAAATAGATAGATAGGGAGATAGATAGACAGACAGACAGATAGATAGGTAGACAGATAGATCAGTAGGTAGGTCGGTAGATACTCAGAGAAAGATAGAGAAACAGAGAGAAAGAGAGAGAAAGAGTGAAAGAGATCAAGCACCTTTCAGTCCATCAGTGGCTTCGCTCTGCCATCCCTGATTCACAACAACCAAGCTCTCCTATAGGTTTCCTATTTTCGAAACTTCCGCCACCGCCTTGTGCGGTACTACTGGTAGATATGAATAAACAAATCACCATGTAAAAGGAATGCATAAGTAAGGGCCAAAATCAGGTTCAAGAGGTACTGCTTGAGTTTTCACTGGGAGGCCAGGCTGAGGTCGGCTAGGTCTGATGTTTCGCAAACCATATAGGGGAACAGGTGCATGCGCTGGAGGATGTGCTGGTGCACTCACAACCTGAGTGGCCCAAATACAAATTGAATGTTGCTTTATTGGCATGTTTACCAGCCCCCTTGAACAGATTTGGGCTTTAACAGGGAAATACATTGAACATATAAAACGCATGAAAACATTGAAAGAAACGTTCCACCATGGCATTGGAGGGTTCGAAGCATCACTGGGAACTGGAGGCATTGGTCTTGGAGGGTGCGAAGCAACTGGAGGCCTTGGTCTTGGTGCAGATGCCATAGCAGGAATTGCAGGCCCTGGCACAGATGGCATAGAAGGTGGAGCCATTCGAGCACGTGGTGGGTCAGCTAGAACAGCATGCAAACCTGGCAGCTCAATGTTGCACCCAAAAAATCATGAGACATTTAAAAATAGGGGTGCCCCAAAGCTTTGTTTAAGTTCTGCACATTAAAAAACAAGGGCAAAGGGCACCCCTGGGCACCACTATTTTCAGACACCCCCATACATATATATATATATATGTGTGTGTGTTTTTGAATATTCTGATGCACTTACCATGTTAAATTAAACCATGGTGGTATTATTTTTTCGAAAATGATATCCAACAAAAAAATTAGAAACCTCGTGATTCCTCTGGAACTGAAATTCCACGCGCATGGTTGCCATTCAAGGCATTGAAGTAGTCCTGTGCAGTCTCAGTATCAGGAACACTTAGGTATACAGAGCAATGTCTTGCCCCCACTGTTTCATTGCCGTACTTCTCCTTTGTGATCTTGATCTCACCTGCCTCCCAGAAACCAAGCTGTTCCAGAGCCCATCGAATTTCCTGAGCAATTGTCCAATCAAACACACCCCCGAAAAAAAGAACTTGGAGGGTGTCTTAGAGGCAGTAAACAAAAAAGTTATTCAATCAAAAACCAGTGTCGAACTTCCTGGCCCTGATGTCGACATGTTGCACAAACACTCTGGCCATTGCTATAGTACTGAACTTACAGGTGGCCTGTCATGTTTCAAATCTTGAGAAGTGTTTTTCACCAGTTTGCACTAAGCTTTTTTTAATTTTGATTGTGCAGAAAATGAAAATTGGAATGGTTTGGCTGCCTAGGAAAGCTTCAAACCACATCCACCTGAGACACACAAATGTGGCAGCAAAGATAGTGATACATGAACTTACTCATGTAAAATTGCAATTATTTCCATACATGTTCCTCATACTGATGTCAAAGTGCTCAAGAAACCAAGCATGCTCAAGTAACTGTTGATACCAAGTACAAGTGTTGAAACTAAACATGCCCAAGCAAACAGTTGAACAACTCACACTTAAGTGAACTTTGAATCTGAACATACCCGAACAAACATTCAAAACCAAAAGTTGCAGGTCAAAATACCCAAACTGAACATGCCCAAGTAAACTGTTGAACGCTGGACACTTAAAGTAGTTTTTTGAAACTGAACATACCCAAATAAACCATTGTAACTACACATGCTCAAGTCAAACTATCCAAGATGAACACGCTCAAGTAAATTGTTGAAACTGAACATGTTCAAGAGAAACTAGTAAAAAATGAAATGCACAAGTAAATGGTTGAAACTGAACATGCTGAGGTAAACTCTTGAAAGTTGACATGCACAAGTAAACCGTGGAAACTGATGGAGGCTGTGTATCTCAGTGTATCTCACCAAGACGCATGCAAACCAAACTCAAGTAAGTGAAAACTCATTCACACATTGACTTTCAAGCAATGCAGCCCCAAGGAATTGCAGATGACATTTTGTCTGGCAGGCGCATGGATGTTCAAAAAAGCATGGCTGGCCCAAAAGGCTGTCTTGTTGCATAGCCAAGAATATAGTCACAGCACTGGTGGCTGCTCTCAACCATGGGTTGTATCATCACCTATATCGAAATTGGGCTCCTTCCAGCTTTCAGCCAAGACTTTCAACTGCTCTAACTGCTTCCCAATTTCTTCACGTCGAAAGAGGATCAACTGGATCACCAAAGTGTGCATCTCCTTGAGGCGACCCATCTCTGCCATGTTGTACTGGATCTTTTTGATCAGCTGCTCCACATCTGACTGAACTGTGGAACCAGGGCCTCCCAAAGGGGCAACTTCCTCCATGTGGTTGTTAGCCAGGTCATAGGCAACTGCAATGAACTGCTGGAGGTCCACCGCAGTTCTGAACTCCTACTAGCCATTGCTAGGCAGCCCTACGCATCCAGGTTGATCCCAAAAAACACCTGCACACATTTCCGTGGGTTTTTAACCCAGAAGTAATGATAGGTGTTCTCATGGAAATGCCTGCAAATTCCAAGACTGCTCAGGTAAAGCATCCGTTTTTATTCCTCAAGTAAATATGTGCACACCACAGCACTTGTATTTTCCCCAGGTGTCAGAATTGCTCCCATGGTCTAAAATGTTTGAACTGGGTGTAGTGTAGTGTAATGTAGTGTAGTGTAATTTAGTGTAGTGGAGTGTAGGTGAGTGTAGTGGAGTGTAGTTGAGTGTAGTGGAGTGTAGTGGAGTGTAGTGGAGCGTAGTTGTGGTTGTAGTTGTAGTGTAATGGAGTGTAGTGTAGTGTAAGGTAGCGAAGTGTAGTGGAAGAATCATGAAGAATCTATCTATCTATCTATCTGTCTATCTATCTATCTATAATCATTTATCTATCTATCTTTCTATCTATCTATCTATCTATCTCATATACCCAGCTGGCGTCTCTCTCTCTCTCTCTTTCATCTAATTACCTATCTATCTATCTACCTTTCTATCTGTCTATCTATCTATCTATCTCTCCCTTTCATCTGTCTATCTGTCTAGCTGTCTAGCTGTCTGCCTGTCTTTCTATCTACCTATCTATCTATCTATCTATCTATCTATCTATCTATGCATCTATCTATCTATCGGTCTACCTGTCTATCTGTGGTGCAGTGTCATTCAGTGTAATGTAGTGTACTGTAATGTAGTGTGGTGTAGTGGAGTGTGGCGGAATGTAGTGTAGTGTAGTGTAATGTAGTGTAGTGTAATTTAGTGTAGTGGAGTGTAGGGGAGTGTAGTTGTGTAGTTGTAGTTGTAGTTGTAGTTGTAGTGTAATGGAGTGTAGTGTAGTGTAAGGTAGTGAAGCGTAGTGGAAGATAGTGTAGTATAGTGTAATGTAGTGTAGTGGAGTGTAGTGTAGGTAATGGAGTGTAGTGTAGTGTAATGGAATGTAGTGTAGTGTAGTGTAGTGGAGCGTAGTGTAGTGTAATGCAGAGTGTAGTGTAATTTAGTGTAGTGGAGTGTACTGGAGTGTAGTGTAGTGTAATGTAGTGTACTGGAATGTAATGTAGTCAGTGTAATGTCCTGTAGTGTAGTGTAGTGTAATGTAGTGTAGTGTAGTGAAGCGAAGCGACATCTGAACCTCCAAGAGTGGTCCGAACCCCTAGTGTTTTGAACATTTTGACTTCGAAATGTGCTTCGCGCCACAACGGCATGCACTTTTTCGACATCTGAACCTCCAAAAGTGGTCCGAACCCCTAGTGTTTTGAACATTTTGACTTCGAAATGTGCTTCGCCCCACAACGGCGTGCACTTTTTCGACATCTGAACCTCCAAAAGTGGTCGAACCCCTGGTGCTTTTAACATTTTCACTTCGAAATGTGCTTCGCACCACAACGGCGTGCACTTTTTCGACATCTCAACTTCCTTAAAAGTGGTCCAAACGTGGTGTGCTTTGTACATTTTGACTTCGAAATGTGCTTCGCGCCACAACCGCGTGCACTTTTTCGACATCTCAACTTCCAAAAGTGGTCCGAGAATGGTGTGTTTTGCAATGTTTTGCACATTTTGACTTGGAAATGTGCTTCGCGCCACAACGGCGTGCACTTTTTCGACATCTCAACTTCCAAAAGTGCTCCGAGCACCAGGTGTTTTGTACATTTTGACTTGGAAATGTGCTTCGCGCCACAACGGCGTGCAATTTTTCGACATCTCAACTTCCAAAAGTGGTCCGAACGTGGTGTGTTTTGTACATTTTGACTTCGAAATGTGCTTCGCGCATCTTCGCGCCACAACGGCGTGCACTTTTTCGACATCTCAACTTCCAAAAGTGCTCCGAGCACCAGGTGTTCTGTACATTTTGACTTTGAAATGTGCTTCGCGCCACAACTGCGTGCAATTTTTCATCTCTCATCTGGCCAGCTGGCTCCGCACCCGCCGCTTTAGCGAGCCTACTTTTCGACCCTCCGGAGCCCGAAATCATTGGAAAAACACAGTGTTTCGCGACTTTCCTACCTTTTCACGCATCTGCATCTACTTTCTTCTTACTCTTCTTTCTTCTAATCTTTCTCTTCTCTCTGCCTCTTCCCTGCTCTGCTTTTCATCTGTCCATATTGTCGGAAGTTTGACTTCTAAACTTCCTTGTGGTGATGCCAAACTTGAACTTCTTCCAGGCGCACGGCCTCCCGATACGACTTTTACAAGCTGATACGACTTAACGCTAGCGTTAGTACTATTTTACATGTTTTATTTTGGTTTGATTGTGGTGATGGCTGTGTGTTGATGATACTTTCTTTCTAATGAACATGTTTGTTTTCTATTTGCTGTTTTCTCTGTTGGACTTGCGTATGTTACTTGAGCTTTTTGTACTTGGGCATGTTGGTTTTGTGTGGTCGGTTATTTGCTGGTTATTTTTGGGGCCTGTGTCTGTTACTTGAGCTTTTTGCACTTGGTCATGTCAGTTGTGTGTTTACTTGTGCATCTTGGATTTGGCTTTCGATTCCTTATATTAGGGTACTGTTTTGTGTTTATTTGAATTTGTTCTTTGATGTTTTTTACTTGCGACAACTGTTTTACTTGAGAGATGTTTCTGTTACTTGTGTGATGATTTTGTGTCTAATTGTTTTTACTCGAGCATGTCCAAGTGTAAGTTGCAGACTGTGGGTCTTTTCCATGGGTAGAATTTGCATTTCAATATTGGCTCAACTAACTCATGTGTGACTCATATGTTCTTTTCTAGTTGGTCGCCATTTTGGCCTTGTGGGCATTGAAGCCTTTGTAGAAGGTCTTGGCCTTCCTTTGACTTGGGGCATGGCTGTACTAGATGTGTTACTGCTGTTGTTTTCTATGGTTTTTAGTGCAAACCAAACCTTCACTGATATCCTGATATCCTTATGCATTTTTTGGCTCTTTTTTCAACTTGCTATGCGATGCACTTTTTACGCACGTTTTGTGCATTTCTTATGCGCTTGTTATGCACTTTTTATGCATTTCTTATGCACTTTTTATGCACTTTTTATGCGCTTTTCATGCGCTTTTTATGCGCCCTTAAAAAGCGCATGAGGATTTTGACCAAAATCAACAAAAATAACACAGAACAACATCAAAACCAACCAAAACACACCAAAACCAGTGTACTTTCATGTGAGTAATCACCAATATCGCAGAAACATCAAAACCTACTATGCTTTTTAGCTTAGTTCATATCAAGGAAATCAGTGAAGTACCTTCGATGTTCAATAGATTACAGGTAGCACAAGTAAGACAATTGGTGTGGCAAATCCTCAAGTAATAAAAAGTAATCTGCAAAGGCCTTCCATTTTCTCAAGTGCTTATGTAGAAAACAGAAACAGTGCAATATCTCCAATTCCCTCAAGTAAGACATGTTTTGCTTATTGTGCCAAACCTGAACCGGCACAACAAGCAAAAACACAATGTCCATCTTTGTTTTTGCAGAAATTCACCCAGATGGTGTTTTTTGCTGATTGCACCGCACCTGGCCCGATACTATTCTTATACAAGAACACCAGCTCCATATATTTTTCGGGGGACATCACTGACATGGTGTTTTTGCTTATTGTGCCAGACCTGACTTGGTACAATAAGCAAAAGCACCATTACAATATGTAACCAGCCAGGATCCCAAGTAACACTCAAGTAAGGCATGGTCCACAAGTAATCAGCCAGGCCCTCAATACACTGGATGGTGATGGCAAAAAATGCACCAGTGATTTCACTTGAAACCACTTACTTGAGTCTTCTTACTTAAGCCATTATATTTGAGCATTGTCTTGAAGTCCTTTTGCTAAAAAAACATCTTCAATAAGTACAAGTTCCTTGGGCATGGTGAGCTACTTTCTTACATGAGCATTTTATTTACACCTCAAACTTGTACCAACAAAGAACAAACCATAAACCTGAATGCATTGATTCCATCTCAAAAATTACATATTTCCAGAACATTTGTTAACTAGTTTTGTTGCCTGTTTTTCAACAAAAAATATAGAAAAACAGCTTCAAGAAAATGAAGAAAAATTAGGTATAAACCTCAATGGATTTAGGTATATACCTAAATCAATTTACTAATTTTGACTTTTAAACTTTTTTGCACCCTAAATTCTTTGATTTACGTAAAGTTTGAAAATTAGTAAATTTACTGTTTTTGGAGACTCAGGCAAAGGGCTACCAACGTACAGAGGCAGCCTGCCTGAAGCGTGGCTACGCCCTTGCGACGATTTTTCAAAGTCCCGCGATCTGAGCACCTTGTCGGAGACACCGATTTCTTTGCTGCATCCAAGGTACCAGAGCGCAGCGCTGCATCTTCAGCAGCAGTGCCATGGTCTTTGGGGGCTACGTTGGGGAAGAACAATTTCAAGGTTGGGTCACAACCTATGATTGACCACAACCAAGCCAGTCAGACCATCTTGGCTCGAGTACTGCTTACTCAATGCCAGCGAAGGTCCCCCAACGTTGCAGTCAACTGTCATTCCGTCATTCCCGCATGGAACTACGCCCCCCAACTGCTAGAAAAAGTCACCCCAACTTTTTCGCCCATTGTAAACGCAGCACGAACATGAAGAATTACAAAAAACTATCATCCCAAATGTGCAAAAACACCATGAGAACGCAAGTCACCCCAATGGTTTCAAACTATGGAAAATTACTAACAACATGACATGTTCCAATATCAAAACACCATGTAAACGCATGATTCATGTATGTTTGGGTAAAAAACATATTTTTGTTGCAAAACTAAAACGCATCTAATTCTAATGTCCAAAGTATAACAAGTATGTACATCTAAGAAATGTCATCTTTTGGTTCAAAACACAATGTGAACGCATGATTCATGTATGTTTTGGTATGTTTTGGTAACAAATCTATGGGGTTCGGATTTGCATTTCAACTCAATATTTCTGCAACGGGTTCCGACGAGACCAAGAACGAGGCCAAAACGATGCCCGAACGAGGCCAGAAAATAGCCTCGGAAACCCCCCAGCTTTAATTAGCAGCTGTTTACCACCAGCCCGGCAGCAAGTCTCTAGCAGGAGTCTAGAAGCACTCTGGCAGCAGCTCAGCAGCAGTTTGCACGGTGCCCGTGGTGATATCCCGCAGCCATTTAGCAGCAGCCCAGCATCAGCCCGCAAACAGCTTAGCTGCAGGCCAGCATCTACTGCAATTGGATGAATCGATGCATCTACTCTAGAAAGGCACCCCCCGGCAGGGCGACATGTAAACACGTGACTGGATTTGCTCGAAGGTCACATGAATGAGCCAGGCATGACAAAAAGACATAAAACACAGGTTCACCAGTGTAAACACAATCTAAATGAACAATATTTCAATATTTACTTCTAAAAACATGTTGGGGCGACTTTCCCGGGAAGTCCCCCCAACTAAACGCAAGATTGTTGATCGAGCGAGTGAGTTCACTATAATCGAGTAAGAGTCAGACATCATCGGCGTTCTATCTTAGATGAAAACCATATACCTGGATATATCATGATATATCTGGAGATACCTGCATATACCGGGATCAAGTTTTGATGAGATTGATCAACCCAGTCCTTCAGGGCCTGTTTGGACAGCTCAAACTCCTGCTTGATGTCCTCCTCTGCAGCAGTCAGTCGACCTTGTACCTCTTCTTTGCTCTGACAGGAGCCCATCTTGTGGTGTTGGAGCTATGACGGCGGCACAGAATCTGGAGCTGTGGGGCGGCAACACGCAAGACAGACGCGTGGAGGCAAAAACAAGTTGCCAAAACAAGTTCACCATGTTCACCCGAGATTTGACCCCTTGAATTTTTCATTAAAGGTTCAACATGTTCCAAACTGTGGAGCTCAGACATGCCAAACGATCTGAATTGGCTCATCATGTTCACCCCTGCAACCCCAGCTGCTTCCTCAAGCCTTCAGTGGTGGCACCTTCTCAGCCCAGTGTCTGCGTGGGATCCGACTCGAAAGCCAATGACGGGTGGCTTTGAATCCTGGAGTGGTTGCAAAGAAATCTCTCAAAGGAATGGTGGATTCCTTGCTTCAATCTCCAATGATTCTGGTTGATCAGATGTGTCTAAAGTCATCTCTCCCTAGATTCGCTTCGATTTTAAGTACTTCCTGTAGGAAGCTGGTTCTATAGCTATCAATTTGATTGACGGACCATACTCGGAAGATGTGGAACTGCAGTTGTCCAAGTTCACTCGCTTGAGTAAAATTGGTTACTGAAACCATCGCGGTCTACGTGCTTTCAACCATCTTTTACCAGTAGTACCGCGCAAGGCGGTGGCGGAAGTAGAAAGATAGAAGGAAAAAAGTTGGAAAGAATGATGGGGAGAGAAAAAGGATCTGAGCAGAGCCTCAACCACCTCTTGATCAATCAGCAGGCTCTGCCAGCCAGGCGTCGCAACAACCAAACTCTCCTATAGGTTTCCTATCTTTGAAACTTCTGCCACTGCCTTGTGCAGTACTACTGGCACACTACATTACTTTGCGTTGTGTGACAATTGCATTATATATACTAGTAACCGAAGGAAGTTTAGAAGTCAAACTTCCGACAATATGGAGAGATGGAAAAGCAGAGGTGGGAACAGTCAGAGAAGAGAAGGGAAGAAGAGAGAAGATCAGAGAAGAGAAAGTGTGAGAAGAAAGACGATGCAGGTGCGCGAAAGGTAGAAAAGTTGTGATTCACTGAGTTTTTCCATTGATTTGTCGCTCCGGAGGGTCGAAAAGTAGGCTCGCTAAAGCGGCCGGTCCGGAGCCATCTAGCCAAATGAAAGATGAAAATTGCCCGCCGTTGTGGCGTGAAGCACATTTGGAAGTCAAAATGCCCAAAACAGACAACGTCGGACCACTTTTGGAAGTTGAGATGTCTAAAAAGTGCACGCCGTTGTGCCAACTTGCACGGGTGCTGCTTTTAATCTTCGGAGATATTCGGAGCTTGCAACTGGTACCCGGAACTTAATCCGGACGTTTGTTCATGTTATAACCTTCGCGCAAATTCAGCCCAAATTCGGTGCATGAATTGCATGAATGGTTGAAGCTTTGGAAACGCGTTTTGTGTTGCTGCACATTGCTGCCTCTTTTGTGAAGCAGTCCAAAACATGTTCAAATCCTTTCTGTCTTTCGCATAACACGACCTGTGCAAGTAGGAAAGGCTTCAACAAACATCATCATCCCACCAGGAGTTGCACAAATCTAGTCTCTTCGAAGCCACTGCCACACACCCACCAACAGTTGCTTTTGCTGTTTCTTGTGCCCAAAAACGACACAAACACATGCTCTATTTTCATGCCTTTATTACTTGACCGATGATGACTTCTTGACCAAGGCAAAGAGTTTTTATTTAATTGCTACCTGCTTCTTTGCAACTTGACTTTGTCACGGTGCAATTTGATTTTATCCACTTGTAGCAAAAAAGGTTGTCTAATTGCAACGTGGTTTTGTCTAAGCATAACTTGATTTGCTTTATTTGCAGCCAGGCTCTGTCTAATAGAACCCTGCTCTCTTCAATTGCAAAAAAACGCCTGCTGAATTGCCAGCTGATTGTGCTTAATTGCAGCAACCTGTTCTTAATTGCAGCAACCTGTTCTTAATTGCAGCAACTTTGAGTTCCAAACACCCTAAATTTCAAGAAAATTCAATCAAAATCTTGCTGTTTGCATCAAAACTAAGGGGTCTAGGCCTTGTTTAAGTATGTTTAAGTAGCGTCTAGGCACCCTAGTTTCGAAGAAAAATCAACGAACATCCTGTTATTTTGCTCAAAACTAGGGGGTCTGGACTCAATACTTGCTGCAATCGAGTGAAAGTTGCCGCAATTAAGGAAAAAGTTGCTGCAATTAAGGAAAAGTTGCTGCAATTAAGTGAACGTTGCCGCAGTCAAGGAAAAAGTTGCTGCAATTAAGGAAAAAGTTGCCGCAATTAAGGAAAAAGTTGCTGCAATTAAGGAAAAGTTGCTGCAATTAAGGAAACATAAGGAAACGTTGCTGCAGTTAAGGAAGTGTTGCTGCAATTCAGGAAAAAGTTGCTGCAAGTGAGGAAAAGTTGAGGAAATCAGGTTGAAATGGTGGGAATCAGGTTGCAGCTGAGCAATTGAAGATGCAATGCGGCAAATCAAGTTTCAATTAAGCTGACTGAGGCTGTGCAGTGGGACAGATTCAGGTTCCATTCTTTCAAATGTCGCAGTTAAGCGGGATCAGGTTGCTATTCCCCAGAATGAGATTGCAATTGGGCAAATCAGTGTGTATTTAGACAAATCAGGTTGCAACTAGACCAAGCAGATTACAATCACACAGCAAAGAGACAGAATCAGGCTGCAACTAGACAGAATCAGGTTGCAAATAAGCAGAATCCGGTGGCAAGTGGGCAATTCCAGACTTGGGTGGAAATTAGACAGAATCAGGCTGCATGAATCAGGTTGCAATTAGACAGAATGCGGTTGAGATTATTGGCAGGGAAAGTTGGCCGGCCATTTGGAGACCCCTCTTCTTGACTTCTCTTCTGCGGTATTCATTTTGAGAAAGTGAAATGCTGTTCCAAAACCGCATCAGGGTGCATGTTTGTAAACAAATATATCATTGACACATATTAAAACCATAGAGTGGCCAATGGCCTGAAGGTACTTCTTAGCCAGGCACGGCACATACCAAAGTTTTTCCCCCATTTTTCCCCACATCTTTGTGTGGGGTTCTTGGTTTTGATTCTGTATCCCGCCTCCTCCTCCGCCTCGCCCGCGCCTCGCCCGCTTTCACACACACAATCTTTCACACACCACTTTGTCACACACCATCTTTCACACACCACTTTGTCACACACCATCTTTCACTACACCATCTTTCACACAACTTTGTCACACACCATAATCACCACACCATCTTTCACACACCACTTTGTCACACACCATTTTTCACCATCTTTCACACACAACTTTGGAAAGGCACCTTCGCTTCGCCGGCGTGGCGCTTGGTGACATCTACCTTCGTTTTGCGTGGCACGCGTGGCACTTGCAGCACTGGGCTGGATCTGGTGGCCCGCTTGGGCGCGGTTAGTCGCCGGTGACGCCGTGGCACTTTGCGTGGCAAGCGTCGCACTTGGCGACTCCACCTTCGCTTCGCGTGGCATCGCACTTGGTGACATCTACCTTCGTTTTGCGTGGCAGACGTGGCACTTGCGGCACTGGGCTGGATCTGGTGGTCGCGTGGCAAGCGTGGCACTTGTTGACATCTACCTTCGTTTTGCGTGGCAGGCGTGGCACTTATGGCACTGGGCTGGATTCGGTGGACGAACGAATGCAAGTCCTACGGATGGCTTAAGCTCAGATGGGTTACAGGCAAGAATGGCAGGATTCATTTACTGAACCATCATGCCTGGCGATTTCTGTGCCTGCACCTAGCGGGTTCTCAATTACGGATGTGTGAAATCAAACGGATGCTGGCATGGCCCCGAAGCAGCCAATCACCACGACGCGGAAAAATGAAAACCGAAAAAAGATCCCCCATCGAATTTTAGGGGAGACGTTGTGACCCCTGGTCTGTAAGGCATAAAAAAGATTCACAAGCTTGGGGCTATAGAATGAGGTTGCTGAGCTCCATTTTTCTCGAAAATAGCCTTAGCTACAAAATGCCCCTTCGTTTCAACAACCTTGACATAGGGGGAGGTTTTCCCTTGTTACAAAATGCCCCTTCGATTTCAACAACTGTATCATACAAGAACATACCCTTTGCTGCAAAATGCCAATCTCATTTTCAAGGACTGCATATGCAAAGGAACATCGTTGCTACAAAATGCAACGTTGTTTTCAACATCATCCACCAAGATTCATCAAGCATCATCATTCATCACAGATCAATATAGATCAATACAGATCATGCATATTCATGCATCATCATGCAGAATTGTTCTGTTTGAATCTGCTTGGTCCTTTTCATTGTATTGCGGCAGCTCTGCAACGGATTGCGTGAACCACATCTAAGCTACAAAAGGCCCGTTTGATTTTTATAAGCCAGTATGAATCTCATCATGTCATGCTACAAAATGCCACTGCGGTCTTCATCATGGGCTAACATGACTAAAATGACTCCTTTATAAAATGATATTCACAAGTTTAAGCTACAAAATCTTTGACCTGGATTTCATCTCAGGGTTAGCCTGACTAAAATGGAAGCCTCTGTATAGTGCTTGTGGCCACCAACTCTGTAGCTTGAATTTGCTGGGGGATGAAAAAAGACTCAATGCGATCCTAAGCGGATGTCATTTAATTACGATGCATGAAATCCAAGCAGATGCAGTGCAAATATGAATCATCTTGAGCCAAAGTCAGAGACGATGGACCGGAGTGTGGGCCTGAAAAGGAGGGATGTACTATACATATGATAATTATGGTTGCTCAACACACAAAATGTTTCAAGTTTGACATGTCGAAAAAGTGCACGCAGTTGTGGCGCGAAGCACATGTCAAAGCCAAAATCTACAAGACACACCATGTTCGGACCACTTTTGGAAGTTGTCATGTTGAAAAAGCGCACGCCGTTGCAGCGCGAAGCACATGTGCAAGTCAAAAGTGCAAAAAACTGACGGGTACGGAGCGCTTTTGGGCGTTCAGATGTCTTTTTGCGTGGCAGGCGCAAGGGATTGTGCACCTTGTCAAACGTGAGCCAAACGTGAGGGTTTTTGTTGCATATCCAAAAACGATGGCAGGCGTGGGGCGTTTGAAGAGGATCTGCAAAGATGCATTTTCCGTGGCAGGCGCAAGACAAGAGACATGTTCATCAGAGATGTTAGATAATGTTAGGAGGTCAGGGCGCTGATTTCCTGAGAGGGGTTGCATTTTGGAGCATCAGGGTGATTTTGCGTGACAGGTGCAGCACTTTGTATGACCTGGCATCACTTTTTCGTGGCAAGCGCAATATTTTAGAGACATGGACTGGAAAAATCGCAAAACGCATTGGTACGAGGCCGTAAGCTCTGCGAAGGAAGTCTCGCAGAATTGCTTCGTTTTTGACGTTGCCAACTGCAGAATTTTCCTTTTTGACGTTATCAAGTTCAAAAGTTGAGGAAGTCTCGCAGTCTCGCAGGATTGCTTCGTTTTTCATGTTGTCTCCTTCGAAAATGGAAGAAGCCTTGCAGAATTGCTTCGTTTTTGACGTTGCCAACTGCAGAATTGTTTCCTTTTTGACGTTATCAAGTTCAAAAGTTGAGGAAGTCTCGCAGTCTCGCAGGATTGCTTCGTTTTTCATGTTGTCTCCTTCGAAAATGGAAGAAGCCTTGCAGAATAGCTTCGTTTTCAAGCTTGCAAATAGAAAGAAAGAAAGATAGAGAGATAAGACAGAAAGATGGCTAGATTAAGTTTTCTAAGCCAATGGCATAATATGGCATAATCGTGATAATCTCCGTCCCATCTTGGATTAGCTGAGCTTTCTATATCATCCATATCTCTTACACTTTTTGATCTCAGGCAGTCATATAACTGGCAATGACGGTTGTAATCTGTTATATCTTGGCATTGTTGTCCTCCAACGGAGCTTGTATAACGTTGAATAAAATTACTCAAATCACCAAGGGGTCGTAAGAACTTAGCACGGTCGGCATCAGTATTTTGTAAGGTGGCAAACAACCTAATAGACGACAATCTATATAGTTATTATCATCTGCTGAAATGTTAAACCTAATATTTTTATTTCCAGAATTGGCATTATACACGTTAGAGCCACTAGGAAAGAAATTAACAAATCTACGAGATGTGATGTATTGACTTGTTGAAGGTAAACCAAAATCAAAAGCATTAATCATTTCATCATTACTCTCTGATACTATGTGTTCCATTTATTTATCAAAACCTAGAAATTTCATTTTTTCAATTTATTATGTGATTTTACTAAATCAATATGTATAGATTTTTTATTTACTATATTATTCTGAATATGTGTTATACTATTATTTTCTTCAACCAATGCCTTTATAGTTTCATAATCGCTTGGGGGTTTATTCCCCACCTGCCAGGTGAGGGTTGTTAGATTTTATGTCAGTTGCCTCCTCCTCCTCCTTCTCCTCCTTCTCCTCCTCCTCCTCCTTCTCCTCCGCCTCCTCCTGCCTCGTCCTCCTCTCCTCCTCCTCCTCTCGTTGTCCTCCTCGTCCTCCTGCTCAACTGCGACTCGCGATCCACAGTGTTCGCTGTCGGACCTCAACCACGACCATCCACGCCCAGTGTTCCCTGCCGGACCTCAACCACGACCATCCACGCCCAGTGTTCCCTGCCGGACCTCAACCACGACCATCCACGCCCAGTGTTCCCTGCCGGACCTCAACCACGACCATACACGCCCAGTGTTCCCTGCCGGACCTCAACCACGACCATCCGCGCCCAGTGTTCCCTGCCGGACCTCAACCGCGAGTATCCATGCCAAGTGTTCCCTGCCGGACCTCATGTAGGAATGTCAGATAGACTGCCAGATAGAATGCCAGATAGAATGTCAGATAGGATGCCAGATAGAATGCCAGATAGAATGCCAGAAAGAATGCCAGAAAGAATGCCAGATAGAATGCCAGATAGAATGTCAGATAGGATGCCAGATAGAATGCCAGATAGAATGCCAGAAAGAATGCCAGAAAGAATGCCAGATAGACTGCCAGATAGAATGTCAGATAGAATGTCAGATATAATGCCAGATAGAATGCCAACATATATGCCAGAATATATGTCAGATAGAATGCCAAAATATATGTCAGATATAATGCCAGAGAATGCCAGAATATATGCCAGAATATATGTCAGACAGAATGCCAGAATATATGTCAGATATAATGCCAGATAGAATGCCAACATATATGCCAGAATATATGTCAGATATAATGCCAGATAGAATGCCAACATATATGCCAGAATATATGTCAGATAGAATGCCAAAATATATGTCAGATATAATGCCAGATAGAATGCCAGAATATATGTCAGAATAAATGACAGGTAGAATGCCAGAATATATGTCAGATGAAATGTCAGAAAATATGTCAGATAGAATGCCAGATAGACTGCCAGATAGAATGCCAGGTGGAATGTCAGGATATATGCCAGATAGAATGCCAGAATATATGCCAGAATATATGTCAGATAGGATGTCAGAATATACTAAATATATGTCCAAATATACGTCCTGACATGTCATGGTGGGGATCACACGAAGTAGAGTAATTTAATTCTTTTTCTAGCTTGTCATAATTGCTTTTTAATTTTGGTAAAAGGGGATAAAAGGGGTTTGTTGTGATACACAGAACTTTTATTACTTGAATTTTTATTGCCAAAGAATTATAATATTAAGAATGTTGGGTTTGGATATGTTCTGTTAAGAAACCTTTTGCCAATTCTTTTTTACAATGCGGACATTCTACCCTTTCTTTTTGTTTGTCATTATATTTGTCTTTATGGCTTTGATAGTTTTGTGCGTTTTGTTTTTCTTTTTTTCTTGATATCATTTTTATATTTTTCCCGTCTTTCTTGGTTGATGTCTTTTCCTTTCTCTTCTTTCCTCTTTCTGTCATATTCTGCTTTATTTGCTCGTTGTTCTTCTGTGCGCTCTCTGGTCTTACCACTTTTTAAGAAGTTTTCTTTGTCCCTTTGATATTTTACCTTCATCAGTTCTTTTGCTTCTTCTGGGTTTTCCTTCGCCCATTCTTTAGATTTTTGATAGTGTTTCTTACTTAATTCTTGTAATTTCTTTGAATTGTCTTTTTTCCATTCTTTGTGCGTTCTACCATTAATCACCTTATTTAAAACTGGTTTTAGTTCTCTTATATATTCATCCTCTTTCTTTCTTAACTTGTCTATGGTTTCACAATCTTTGTATTCAAATAGTAGTTCTCTGAAAAAGTTTTCCTTTCCCATTTCTTTGATTTTTGAATAAAGTTTTGAATTATACCTTTTTGGTTCATTAATGCACGATTTATGCTTTGCCAATCTTTGAGACACTAACGTGCAACAAGTAGAACCAACATAAATTTCATCACCAACATTATTATATATGTAATAAGTTTTACCTTTGGAATAATCCATTCTATACTTTTTTTAAAAACTTTTTATCTTTAAATATGTTTTTAACCATTTGGATGGGTACCATTACTTATATTCGTGCCGGGATTGATATTGTAAAGTCCGTTTGCTTCCCAGTTTATGTAGCTGTGGCTCATCAAAAGGTTAGGTTCTTTTAAATTACTTGTTTCTGCGTATCCGTCCAAAATTGAAACAACATCTGTGGGGTTTCTGTAATCCAATCTGCGAGGATTTTGTTTTCCTTTTCCATTTGATAGCAGGTGTGGCATAAGTTGTTGTAGCAAATCTATGTGGTTGTTCTTCATTGATTTTGTTGATTACGGCTGGTGAGAGGCTGTGCCCTACTAGTCTATTAATTTCTGGTGATTTTTAAAGTTCTTCCATTGCATCTCTGTATTTTTCTGTGTGATGGGCGTTTCTAGTAGGCAACAATAACAAGTCATCCAGAATGTCTCTCGTGATACTTCCATCTTTCCCACCTGTTCCTGAAATATATAAAGTATGTCCTGTCTTATACAATCCACTTGGACTATCATTAGCGTTATACAAACCTCGTCTATCTTCTACCTTTTCTTTGTTTGCTACATTCCCTTCTTCGGCATATAGTGTTCTATGTTGTTTGAAATGTTGGTTCAAATTCCTTGTGAAGTCATTCATCCTCTTGTTCCAGTCGGCATTCTTTTTAGCGTGGTCGTCTATGATATAGTCTTTGCCCTGTTTGACTAATTCATTAAATGCCAGTTTCCGTTTTTTGCTAATTGTCTCAATTCCTCTTTACTCAAAACATTTTCAATTGTTTCACCTTCCATAATCCTTTGAACTGCTTGTCTTCCAAATTGCCTTGCTATCTGTGGCAATACTGTTCTAGCTACATTTGAAACTACACCTGTCTTATTATATTATTAATTATAAAACATCCAAGATAA